AACTCATTACCAAGTATTGGTGTGCTCATAGACATTTCCTTCTATTCAAAATGCGTCTTATGTTGGATCTGAATTGATGTCTGTTGCCATTGCATGATAAGGTAGGACGGTTCAGAGGATGGAGAACTCTGCCTTTTCTTTGGGCTCTCTTTGTCTCTTATTTGTCTTCTGGTGTTTTCAAAAGATGTTGTTTTTTCATGGACTGCTCTTTATAAATTGGTTCTTTCTACAGCTTTCATCTACCAACTGACCAGATCAAATTCTGTCCTCAGCAAGGCGTTTTTGAACTGATTCTTGAATTGACGTTTTTTTTTTGTTTTCTATATAATATATATATAAATATCTATATATAAAATTCTGTGACTTCCGTTAATCCGTCCATCCATCACACCCTCTTAAAATAGCATCAATCAAAACCAAATTTTTCGGGAAAGTGCAAACATGTACAAAGCACAGTTGGTTGTACTAGAGTGCATAACTTAATACAATAAATTTCAAGTAATTTTTTTGAAAAATTAAAAGATTTATTATTTAACATACAAAATATGCCCACTATATTAAAAAAAATTTAATGGTTAAAATCACAAATACTTGTTTAATAAAAATGCAATAGTTTTTTTCGCATATTTTTTCTTTAAGATTTTTTATATATATATATATATACAAGAATCCAGATTCCAGTTCACTCTGCATTTGCAAGAACTATAAACAAGTCACAAGGCCAAATGCTTTAAAAAGTTGAAATTTGGATCCCAAAAGAAATATTTACACATGACCAATTGTATGTTGCATGCTCAAGAGTAAAAAAAATGCAAAGAATCCATTCTTCACTGTGAAAAAGGATAAAAAGAAATTTTCTTAAAAAATATTGTTTAGCATGAAATCCTACAAAATTAAATTAATTATTAAACCATGAAGTAGGATTTTTGTCAAAGTATTTTTCCAAACAAATCAGTTTATTCAAATTTCATTGATCAATTTGCAAAATTGAATGAAATGTAAAGTTTGTAAATCTTGTCCACTGCTTTGACAATTACTAAAACCCTTGAGTCTAAGCTTAATGGAATCTACACTAGGATGCTGAAAGCTGTACTTAACATCTCTTGGAGACAATATCCAACTAAATAACAATTCTATGGATTCATCCCTGATATTTCTACAACCTGACATGAACACAGAATGCACTTTGCAGGACACTGTTGGCGAATAAAACAAGAACTTGTGAATGATTTACTGATCTAGAGACCTCACCATTGCACAAGAGGAGCTGGTCATCCAGCAATCACCTACATTGACCAGCTCTGTTAGGACACATAATGCCACTCTGATGGCCTTGCAACTATGATGCAGGACCATGATGGCTGGCGTGATATAACATGAAGGTCCATGATAGCTCAACCGAATAAAAAATAATAATATATTCTTTCTTATATATGACAATTTTTAAAATTTGATTTAAAAATGAGTAACACAGAGGAAATATTTATCATAATAAACTTATTAGATCTTTCATTTCTGTTCCTGTGAAATTTTTTTGTTTTTTACCTTTGGTATCCTGCATCACAATCGAGCTGTATTCCAAAAATGTGACTAACAAATTAGTTGGCTGTTTCGTGGGTTCGTCGGGGTTGGCGTTTATATTTGGATCTGGAGGGGGAAAAAAAAAGAAATACCAAGAAAAATAAATCAATAAATCACACAAATGATTAAGAAACATCTTAACAATTTTTGTTTCTTGTCACACTCATGTCTACCTTCACAGTGGCATGCCTTTCATCAAAGTATTAACTGGAGGAACATCTTATCGTTAACAAGAATGCATCAACAATATAAAACAAGAAAGAGGGAGGCATTTTGTAAATGATGTTACCTATCATAAGTGAACAATGATTATTGTCATATGATGCCACAACCATTGTTAATGTGATCTTGGTATGTCATGTAAGTACGGCTATTATTTTGTTGAATTGATTCACATGCATAGGAGAAATAAACACTTTGGGTTTAAAAATGGATAATTTCCAAAAGGTCACATATCACCCTGTTCACACACCTCTCTAGTCATTTGAACAGGAGTAGTTTTCCTTGTTTCCTGTTCACGATTGAGTTTCTGGTTCTTTCAAAAGTCTGTTTCAACTCTATACTTCAAACCTCTCCACCCAAAATCTGAAATTTTATTTACTGATAATTTTTTTTTAGTAACATGAAATGTTATACGCCAACAAAGTGTAACAATGTTGTGTATAGACTCAGGCATGTGAAAATTCGCATAGATAAAACCTGGGCCACCTTGAAAAAAAAATGGATGTAATCTGGAAATCTGATCTACCAGACAACTTCAAATGGAGTCACTGTAGAGATGGTTTTAATGTATGGTGCCACTGCTTTGACAATTACTAAAACCCTTGAGTCTAAGCTTAATGGAATCCACACTAGGATGCTGAAAGCTGTACTTAACATCTCTTGGAGACAATATCCAACTAAATAACAATTCTATGGATTCATCCCTGATATTTCTACAACCTGACATGAACACAGAATGCACTTTGCAGGACACTGTTGGCGAATAAAACAAGAACTTGTGAATGATTTACTGATCTAGAGACCTCACCATTGCACAAGAGGAGCTGGTCATCCAGCAATCACCTACATTGACCAGCTCTGTTAGGACACATAATGCCACTCTGATGGCCTTGCAACCATGATGCAGGACCATGATGGCTGGTGTGATATAACATGAAGGTCCATGATAGCTCAACCGAATAAAAAATAATAATATATTCTTTCTTATATATGACAATTTTTAAAATTTGATTTAAAAATGAGTAACACAGAGGAAATATTTATCATAATAAACTTATTAGATCTTTCATTTCTGTTCCTGTGAAACAGGATTAAATTATTTAGACACAGAATAACAGTGGAGAATAATGGTTTAGTGATAAGAGTCTTACTAATTAACCCATAGCTGGAGAGAAGAGAGGTGGATTCATACCTTTCTTTCCCAAGGGTATTTGTGCATAAGTGAATATAATAAACCCAACTGAAATTTGAACCCGGCTCTCTTATTAACAATTCTGAACCATTATTGTTCTGTGTCTAAATAATTTCATCCTGTCTCACATGAACAGAAACTGTAGGGAAAAATAGTAATCAGAGGGGGGCAAAAAATGCAGTGCGATGCTCTCCGGCAGGCCACCTATTTTTTTCTTCTTCTTCGGTCGCCTCAAGGAAATGGATAGCGTGGCCATTACACTGGGCAGTTTTGAAACAGACACCAGCTCAGTCGCGCCTACTTTGACTTCCTCTTTGTTCATCTGTTAATTCATATGTCCAGCTCTATTGCACACTGTTGGCCAAATGACTTCGATGTTGCCATGCTGCTGGTACCCTGCTTTTTATGCTATTCCAATACGGCCAAAATTTACATGTGTGCAAATATCATCTCGTTTTGGACGAGATATGCACGCATAAATTGTGTCTTCAATAGCAGCCATATTTCTTTTTGTCACCACTTTGCAGGCTAGACACATTCGCGCTTGTTTCGAATTCTGAGGTAAGTCATGTCTTTCGTCACAGAAACAATGATTTAATAATGTGTTCTGCTCAAGCAGAAACACATGATTAAAGTCTCTTCAAGGACAAACAAGTTTTGTGAACATCTTTTCATAAGATGAGAATGCAAGTAGCAGTTTTGAAAATCTTTTGAAACAACGCTGAGAGTGAATCTCAAATTCAGAGAGAAGCTAAAAACCAGAATTACTAATCAAAATAGTCTGAATATGAAACAAAATGTAAAAGTTATCTCACCTTGTCCCTCAAAGGGAACTGATGCAGGGGATATAGGTGATACAGGGGGAGTGGCCGGGCTCGAAGGAGTGTGCGTCTGAAACAGAGAGAAAAAAAAATTGACTTATTAAAAAAAAAAAGAAAAAAAAAGAAAAAAAAAGGAGCATTTTGTAGGAATATTTTATTTAATATTACATCATAATGTCTTCTTTTTTTATGCTGTATCCTTTCATGAATTTGGTGACCATGGCTCTCTACAGCATCTTGTCTTTTGTAGCTCTATGTTTGTCTCCTAACCATTCCTAAAAGTCCCCAATCTGCTGCCATCCATTTACTACAATACCCAGATAGTTGCCTTAATCTATCTACTACCCTCATCCTTTCTTCTATCACTCCTATCTGATCTTCCTATTTTCTGTAACCCCTTGCGTCCTAGTGGCTTCCTGCCTTGCTTGGGGTGAAATGCTTAAAAAAAAAAAAAAAAAAAAAAAGTTAAATTTATTGAATCTTCATGATTCTGACATTCCCAATACACAGATCACGACATTGATTGTCTCTTTTGCTGACAACCATACAATGTGTTTCCTTATTGTTAATGATTAGTTCTTTCTTCTTGATATGCTTTACTATCTATATAATACTAAAAATCTAATCTTGTATGTATGTTCCTGAGATACAGGTAAAAAAAAAGAGGCATAATACTCCAACCAATTTAAGAGCATATTTTAATGCTTGCAGTGTCAAATTTCATTAAAATTATACAAAGGACACTTGAGTTACGGCCATTTTCTTGTTTGTATGGTAATTTTTAATAGGAAATTTCAGTATTTGTTTTCAATACACATTCTTATATCAATCCATATATATCAACAAACACTTGCATATTATATTCCAAAATTGAAAATAATAAACATTCAAAATATTTTTTTTTTTTTTTTTTTGCATTTCACTCCAAGCAAGACAGGAGTGCCATTATCATGCAAGGAAGGTGGGTGCAGAGACTGAGAGCTAAAGTAAAGAGGGGTATAGAGAAGGACAGAGGATCAGGATCAAGGGATCAGAAGATGTCGATTGACATTACATTTGAATATTTAAAGATTATAGCTATCAGGGAAGCAAATATGAGGAAGGGAGTTCTACTGTGGGGAAGTGCGAGAAAAGAAGCTGTTGAAGTAAAAGAAGCGGTTAAATTTAACTGTTTTGACAGTGAATGGATGGGACTGAGATGCCAACCAGTAGCTCACTTAAACTCATGCAGTTGGAATACCACTGAAAGTAGCTCGTCAGAGCAGTTGCCCTGAAAATATTTGTAGAAAAGAGGGACAACACAGCATGTCTGTGAGAAAGTGACTATAGACAAGATGCCAGATCAGGACCTATCATATTGCATATCCACCTTTGGATTTTGTCAAGCACCTCAAGATGAACAGTGGGGGCACCATCCCATACATAGCAATGGTATTCAATGCAAGGAGTAATGGTAGATTTGAAGGATGGACTCAGGTAAGAAAAACCTTCTGGCACGAGACAAATTTCATAGCCATAGATGAAGCTATTGATTCAATGTAGTTGTTCTACCTCAGTTCAGTGGAAAGCATGAGACCAAGCAGGCGCAGAGGGACACTCTTGTGGACCCGGGCTTCGAGCTATACTGATAGGAGGCAGGGAAGGTTCTCTATGGTGGGCAAATGAGAGCAGTTTTGCTTTGGAGACATTAAAATTTACGAGCCATTTAACTGTTTTAGTCAACCACAGATTGGAGGTCCTTTTTGAGACCAACACCCAGGTTAGCTTTGTCAGTTATGCCGGATTTACTATTGAGACAGGAGTAAATGGTAGTGTCATCTGCATAGGTACCTACTTGGAAACTGATGATACCACAAAGATTGTTGATGAAGATCAGAAACAGTGTAGGGCCCCAGGATAGAGCCTTGGGGAACACCAGCATTCATATGAAAGGAACTGGAGGAGGACCTGTTTTGGACAACCTTCATTTCACGGTTTGATAAGAATGATTGTATTAAGTCAAATAATTGTCCTGTAATACTGTATCCCTGAAGGTTACGTAGAAGGCCGGCATGCCAAACCCTATCAAATGCCTTAAACATATCTAGAGCAGCAGCTCTAGTTTCGCCATTATTGTCAAGTGCTTGCTATACAAGTTCAGTTATGGCTGTGAGCACATCAGTGGTAGACTGGGCAAAGCAGAAACCATATTGTTTGTCGGAGAGTAGATCATGGGACGAAAAGTGCTTATTCACTTTGGCATAATATAACAACATTATTAAATAAATTTAAATACGCATAACACAACATATATTTATACAATTCATAGCACTACATTAGAACTATTTTTATGAACAACTACTTAAAAGGTGAAGAAGCTATATGTGTCACATGATAAAAAGATGCATGCTGGTTTGCTGCCGTTATGTATTTTGAAATAAATGCAAAGAAGGAGTATGTCTAATAAAACATATACTTATTATTTTGAAGCTAGATCAACTGAAATCTTCTGACATATACACTGAAATGAAAACATGTGTTGTAATAAAGTAGCACTTAACAATGATACTTACATGTGTGAGTGCTGTGATGAAATTACGATTTAAATGTATGGCTTCGTATAATGCCAGTAAAATAGAATCATTTGCTCTGAAAAGAAATTAGAAAAAGAAATCACAGAATAATGAACATAATAAAAGAACAACTTCTTTTAGTTTATATAGAGCTAAAATCTAAATCAATGACGTTTTTGATGGCATCAGTTCTCAAATCAGTATCTATGCTCTGATGGCATAACTGTTTACTCCTTTCTTAATAGTAAGTTTGATTGATTCGATAAGGTCAAATTGGCAGCTGATCTCAAAAATGATCTACAATCTGTTGTTCACTGAAGCAAGGAATGGCTTGTGAAGTCCCCCCCCCAAAGAAATGCTCTCTTTTAATAGTCTGAGAAAACCCTTTCTACTATCCATCACTATGGCCGATACTAAGCACAAGGAGAACATTGGCTAACATGTTCCACTGACATGAACTGGAAAGATTATATTGAATCAAATGCGAGATTGGCTGCTAGAAAATTTGGTTCACTATGTTGTGCTAGACAATATTTTTGCCAGAATCTATCTTACATATTTATAAGTCTAGCATTCACCCATGCTTTGAATATTGCTTTCACATATGGTCTGGTGCTTCTGATATATATTTAAAGATTTTTGATAAAATACAACAAAGAATCTGCAATGTTACTGGTCCTGACTTGTCATCTCAGCTTCTGTTACTTTCCCACTGCTGTAATGTAGTTTCACTGCTCATTTTCTATAAATATTTTCATGGTAAGTGTTCTGGTAAACTTTTCTCTATGGCGCCTAAACTTTATGAATTTAAGCACAGTACTAAATTGGCCGCAAGGTCTCATTACTTTACAGTTTAAAATGCTAGATGTAACCATAAGTTCTATGCTGACATTTTCTTCTACCGCACTTCTCACCTGTGGAACTCTCTTCTGGATTCTTGCTTTCCAACCAACTTTGATGTTCAAAAATTTAAATGCAATGTCAATAATTATCTACTGTTTTCTTATTCCTGTTCTTTTATTGTTCTCTCTCCTTAATAAGTGTTTTTTTGTTCTCATATTCTCTAACACTTAGTAACCTCTTGCATCTTAGTGGCTTTATTGCCTTGCTTGGAGTGAAAAAAAGAAACAACTGAAGTATGATGTGGCAGACTGCTTCAAACGTCCAACACTGGACCAAGTATACATTTTTTTCAATCATTTCACGCCAAACAAAGCGGGAATGACACTAGTAAGCAGGGAGTTACAAAGAGTGAAAAAGGAGTGAAATAGGGAGGATTGAGGAAAGGATAAAAGATGAATATCATTCAAGAAGAGAGAAGATGGTAAATGATGTCGCATTTAAATTTATGAAGATTTTAGTTATCACTCTACAACAACGATCAAGACTGGCTATGGCAACATCGGTAATGGCAAAACTCAGTAAGATTAGGAAGAACAAAAGCATCAGCTTTCCAACCAAGATGAAGTTCTACAAAGTCCCTGCTGCTGTATAAACTGCTCTATGGATGTGAAAGCTAGACTCTGATAGCAGAAATGACCAAGAGAGTTCAAACATTTGAAACAAAATGCTTTAGATGCCTTCTCAGGATCTCCTGGAGAGAACACAAGACAAATTACTTTGTACAGTGCCAAGTAACACAATTTGGCAACAGTAAAGAGGAGTAATCTGTTGTGGCTTGGATATGGCATACACCACAATACTCAAGACAGTCCTTAAAGGTACCTTGGAAGTGGGTAAACATAGGAGGGAGGCAGTCAAAAAGCTGGATGGATAACACCAAAAAATGAACCAGGATGGACACTGTTTTGTGAGGCAGAAAACAGATCTGGCTGGTGGCAGCATCATCGTCACTCATGTCTCCTCTATGATCAGTTTGGTCATAAAAAAGAAAAAGAAGTTATCAGGAAAGCAAGTAAACAGAAGGTGGTACAACAGGTGGGAAGTGTGAGAAAAGAAACTGTTGGAGTAGATGTGGCAGTTGCATTTAGCTATTTCAACAGTAAAAAGGGTGGAACCTAAACGCCAATCTAGTAGCACGCTTAAATTCATGTATACAGGGCACCAGGGGAAAAAAAGCTCGTTAGAAGCCATGTCATATCGGAGAGAAACTGACTGAAGTCAAGATGCCTAGTCAGGATCGATTACATTACTGTGACTTCTTTGGATTTTATCATCATAAATCTTATGATTAGGGGTGGCCATAGGAATGCTGCGCAGCTAAGTACCTAATCAGCAACTCCCATATGTTTCCAAATTAACGGACCAATCTACTAGGTTACTGTCCTGTGAGACAATCCTAAATGTAGAACTTGGTGTTGTAAACCACATCAGCCTGCTGCTGAGATTGCCTCTGCTGCTTATCATGCTTGACTGCATTCACTAAGGCATCTTTTTTTCTACTGTTGCTGCACTAATAGAAATTCCTTGAATGTTAACAGGATTGACAAGCACCCAATGATGGCCAGTGCACACAATGTCCAAAATGCTGTGATAATAACAACAAAGATGAGGACAATAGTCCAAATATAAATAATGATAACTCCTTATCACAGAAATTCAGACAGAAACAAGTCTTACCTCACAGATTCAACAGTTTTTTCCTCAGCAACAAACATATTGCCAACCTGTATGATAAGAAAAGAAAACAGGAAACGTATAAATTACGATGATGATTAAATAAGCTGAAAGTATTACTTTTGTAAATCGGCATCCCAGTCATAATACATATCTACAGTTTAAAAATATTAAGATTCCAGTTGTAATTAAGGGCCATTTTATTAAACGAGCTCGTTAGGATTTTGATTGCTGATTTTCTGAACAGGCATTTTACACTTTTATGATTGAGGCAACACAATTGTTCTCACTCCATCTGACATATTGCCATACTAAGTTAAGCTTGGTAATTTTCTATTTTTTTTTTTTTTTACAATAATGTTCACTCTGTACAAGGTTCAAGGGCCCCTCAAAGTAGAGGGTTACAGAGTAAGAGGCATAGTTTAGGCAGATATGTGTGGAAGATAACAGTTAACCCAAGAATTGAACATTAAGAACATAGTGATTGGGAAAACATCCTCTTTGGTGTTGGTTCCACAAGGCAGTGATTCTGCTTAAAGTTCACCAAAGGAATATGAAGGGAATGAGGGTGATTTGCAACAATGTTCATAGCATGGCAGGTCCTAGACATAAATGTTAGAGCTGATAGAATTAAGGAATGTAGTTCATCTGAACACTTACCGTGGAAATAGCGACAGAGCAGTGACAGGATTGTGACATCTCGTTTGCGAGAAAAGGATTGTAGGGTAAAAAATAATTCATCACTCATAACGATGGGGAGAAATATAAAGAATATTTATGGTAATGGTGATATTCGACATTTCCATATAGGAAACTTTCAGCATTTATTGATTGAACAGTAGCATTATTATCAATTGAAATTTACAAAACATTTGTATATAAACAGTTTTTCACTGTTATTGCTCTTTCTAGTACTGATGAGAGTTGCCTTCCAAACCTTTCGTTTTTATTTTGGTAGTGTGGAAAGTCAACAGACTATATCATTATTTTCTCTTCTGAAATGTTATGGTTAAAAAAAAATTAAAAATAAAATTCTCCGAGGATCTGATCTCTCTCATCCCTCTCTTAAATCTTTTTCTTTTCTTCTTTCTCTTTCTATTTTCAGGAAAGCTTTATAGCTTTTTGCTTCCTTTCTCATCCCTCCCTTAAATTTTCTTTCTTTTTTCTTATCTCTCACGACCTTTCTCATACAACATGAACAAGAAAAATGATATCGACTCCTATTTTTCAGAGGAGCTTCCTCTCGCAATATCTTTCCATAAAAGAAATCACCGCCTGTCACTGCTTCTTTCTCTCCCCCACCACAAGGTAAGCAACATTTTATTTTATTTTCTTCATTCAAACTATAAATGTGCGACCCCTTTTGGTTGTTGCAGCTGTTGGAAGTATTCAAGTGATGTGGTTTTTGAGTGCCAGTCTATAGGGTATGATGAAGGACTGACCTCTATACGTGTGCTTGCTTTTTATTTGTTTAAAAGTTTGTGTTAAGAAATTCACAGTTGTAAATAATTATATAACTGATCAAAAAAGGAACAATCATCATCATTTCCTGGTTGGCATATAACAAGAGAGGAAAATAATATCTATAAAGGTGAATAAATTCTTTTACCATGTTGGCTATAGCAGAGAACCAACCACTTTGGGGCTCAGCATTCTTTGTTTGGTATTCTCTGTAATAAAAGAAAGACAGTCAAATCGGAAGCGGTAAAGACAAAAATATGAATCAAAACAAAACCTGATAAAGAACTAAAATGTGATAAAATAAAACGCTTCTATAGAAGGATTTTACAAGTAAGTAGTTGTTTGGTACATTTGAACAAGTTGAAAAACTTAAATGTTTTCTTTTTTTTAACAGCAAAAGATTTGGTTAAGAAAATAAAGAGATAAATGAAAATGCAGAATTATAAATAGGATTTGTGAATGACCTTGCCACAAATTTATTCTGAAACATCTAAGTAGCTTGACAGCATGAGGGGACTGTTTTGTGACAGAAAAATTGACCAAATTTGGTATTAGAAAAGATCAGTTGAGCCATTTGTAAATGAAATGGTATGATTGAAAATCAGAAATCAGGTGAGCAAAAAACTTTACCTAACAAGGAAATTCCAGTATTGAGAAATATAACCAGGATTCAGAAAACTTATGTTTGTCTGCAAACCTAATATAACAAGGCCCGTTTGGTCTTTCAAGAAGCTGTAAGACACATATTAAGAGAACCTCTCCTCTTTTGGTTCCGTCATTTCAACTCAAGACATAAATCTAATAAACTTTCACTATCTTCTAGCTGCTTTCTAAGTAAACAAGTGTAGCGATGTAATGAATGTGTATCAGTACAGACGTAAACGAGGCCTCGAGTCATGTGTGGACATGTCTTTTAAAGACGGTCACATTCAGGTTTCCCTTTTAGCAGCAGAACAGCTTGGAATGTCCAGATCCAGATTATTGTCTCATGTCAAAGCAACGGGTAAGTCTTTTGATGAGATTCACTTTGCTATCGTTGAAAATTTGATGTTTTGTAAAGACGTTCGCATTTTATTCTGAAAGATACATACAGCCCACCATGCTATGGTTTTTTCCATCTCTTTCTTCCTTCTCTGCCTGTTCCCTCTTAATTGTTAAGAGAACAATCGGTTAGCTGTGAAGTGTTTTCCCCAGCTTCAATATACCTTTGCCTTATTTTTCTACAGAAGAAAAAACAATTCATATTTAACAAAACAAAAGCCAGATAACACTGTCTGATATTGTTTTCTTTCTTTTATAGCATTTCACTAACTACCAAACCCCAAAAGGAATGGAACAAATGATTCAAATATATGTGAGCCTTACCACCCAACTTAGCCAAAAGAACATGATGGGGTCATTTCTACAACTGTTGATGGGTATCAATCCATGTAAACCCACTAATACAACAATAATGACCAGCATGGTACATGGTTGAGGACTCAGTAAGAATGATAGGTTCACATAAAGCATGCTGAGGTTACATACACATGTAGGGAGAAAAGAAGAGGTGTTAGTTATTATTAAATCAAGCAGCTGCATTACTACAGCAAAAGAATGTTGGTTGATTTTGCTTAGTGGCATATCAACCTCTCTGGGTTATTTAATGCTGAAATTTGAATATCCTGAACACAATTTTATGCTTTCAACTGCAGATGCCTTGTACATAATTTTATACGTTCCGGTTAAAGGCATGTTTTTTAGATATATAGTTTGTAGATCATAAAATGTATTGTTGGTAATTTTACTGTAGAAATGTATTCATATTTTTTTTTTTTAGTATTGTATTCATTGTCATTTTGCTATAAAAATGTATTGCTGGTCATTTTATAATAAAAATGTTGATTTTTGTTTGTGGAGGGGTTCACTACCTGCCCATAGCTAGGACCATAACAGGTGCTACCACCCAACATGGTGTGCATACCCCACCAGTGGGGCATAGTAATATTTTGGTGGGGCATACATAAAATGTGAACCCTTCGGGTTACTATACCAACAGAATAAAGGAGCAATTCGAGAATGAACTATTAACAGTGAATTGTTTTCTAGTGAATCCGAGTGACAGTGTTAATGTTAATGCATATTAATACATACGATACATATACACTATGCATACATACAAATATTTTGTGTGTATGTACATATATGTGTAATTGACATACATGTAAGAATTAAATATTATTGGGGGGGGGCACCAGAATTTTATAAATACTAAAGTTGGGTATGGCACAAAATCGGTTGAGAAACACTGACTCCATGGAATAAAAGCAGTTAAGAAGTACAGCAAGAGAAAGAGAAAAGTAAATTTTCTTTCCTCACATGATAAATTGACCATCTATTCCTTGTCTCTCTTTAATAAATGCTCGTTTTTAGACTTTATCCAAATGAATATCAATTCCAAATTGAACTTGTATTGCTACTTCTCAACACTTCATGAAAAACAACACTCTTCTTATAACTTTTTTTTTTATCATCAACCTGAGTTTCGCTCAACTTTCGTCTCAATAGGAATGTAACAATTTTCCGTCTTGTTGTCTGTCTACTACACAGTCCACTATCTCTTTGCATTCTCTCTGGCTTCCTTGCCCATTCTCATCCTTTAAGCTGACGATGCAGCCATATCAATATTAACAAACATCGAAAAATGGGCTCCCTCCATGTTGATCATTCTTTTATAATGACCACCTTTACCCACAATCCCTCACAGCCAGTCAGCTGTGGTTGCTACCACCAGTATTTATTTCCCTCATCCTACATCTGTTTCTCAGCACATTCAACTTGTCTCTTGTTTCAAGATTTTTAAATTGCTGCTGGGGGGGGGGGCAAATTACGAAATGCCATAATAACAGAATAAATTAGGCTATGAAGCTGACTGCCTACACAATGCTAATAATGCCATTATTTGTAAACATTTTACAAAACTAAATACTGACATTATTTTCACACCTGTTATTGACTGACATTGTACTGAGGCTGAGAGTTCAAATTTTGGTGACTTAACTCATACAAATTAACACATATTAATTAGCTGAAAACCCACCTTAGTTGGGATTTTGAGTAGTTCCTGAAGAAGGCTCAAAATTATCAAACGAAAGGAGAATTCGCTTTATTCATAATTACTTTTAGAATAACTCAGCAAAATCTTTTGCAATATTATTATTAACATATTTCGAGCTTTGAATCAATGTCACAACTAAAAAAGGAGCAGTATCCACTGAATGTTGTGCTGGCAAACCCTTACCTCTACTTGGGAAAGCATAAAACTTACATTGTAAATCTGACCCTAAAAACTTTATAAGTTCTGAAATTTCCTAAGATAAAATGCACCCCCACCATAGTGTCATTAGTCTGTAACAGAAATTTGGTTGCCATAAATTGGGCATGCCTTGACTTATGTGATACAAGACCAACAGAAAAAAAAAACATTTTGTGAATTAATATACTTTTTAGGCAAAGACAAGAAAAAGCAGAAAATTTGACTAACCTGTTGAAATCTGTTAGAGATGAGGAGACGACCTGAGCATAACCCTGAAAAAAAAAAAAAAAAAATATATATATATATATATATATATATCTCTGAAAATCCATTTTTTAAGGTTGATCTTGATTTTATTTCCATATCAAAATATTTGCATAGATCAGTATAAATTTTAAACCATAATCTGTTATTATAGAAATTTTTCTTTTCAATGAGACCAAAAATTAACTCAAAATGACGTTTCACCTATGTCCAAGAACATAAAAGTCAGCATTTTCCATCTGTTTACCATTTGTGATATGTATTTTTGTTATGTTTACTGAGAACCCTTCTCTCTTCAGTTCGTGTAAAAAGGTGAAATTAATTTGAAATTTGACTGTCTGCTACAAGTGTATCAGTCCCTTGGTCTAAGAAAAAAACTGCCCAATTTTCAAAGCTAAACAGGGATTTGTATTCAAAACTCTTTGTCTTTTATCTTGCCTTTAAATATTTTTTTCTAATTGAATTCACCCTACACAAGGCAGTAAAGCCACTAAGTCACAATGGGTTACTGGGTGTGAAAGAATTAGAAAACAGAAGTATTATTCTGGAGTAAGAACAATAAAAAAGTAATCAGGAAGATAATAGATAATGCTTGACACAGCATTTAAATTTTTGAAAATCAAACTTGACTGGAAAGCAAGAAGTGGAAAGAGAATTCCACAACCAAGAAGTATGAGAAAAGAAACTGTTAGCATAGAACTTTAAAACTGTAAATTGATGAGACCATGTTGCGAATCTAGTACCTTGCTTAAATTCATAAAGTCTAGGTACCATAGCAAAAAGCTCATCCAAACAATTACCATAAAAGTATGTATAGAAAACGCACAGGGAAGCAACTTTATGATGGTGAGTAAGTAACTGGAGCCAAGATGCCAGGTCAGAACCAATAATATTGCAGAATCTTTTTTTGATTTTAACAAGAATCTCTAACTATATAGCAGGAGCACCAGACCATATGTGGCAAAAATATTCAAGGGATGGGCAAATGGTAGACTTAATGATAGATTCAGAAGAGAAAAAGTGTCCAACACGACACAATGAACCAACTTTCTTAGCACAAGACCTAGAAATGGATTCAATTTAGTCTTTCCACTTCATATCAGTCAAGATGGTTAGCACAAGAAGGTGCAACAAATCAGTCTGTTGGAGGTTAGCATCAGCAATGCTGACGAAAGACAGAAAGGGGTCTCTCATGATTAATAGAGAGCTTTACCTCAGACTGTAGGACATTTTTGAGATCAGCCACCAATTTGACCATTCCAATCTGCTCAGATTTTTAAAAAAAGAAAAAAAAAACAATATCATAGATATAAGAGGAGGCTGTAGAGGTCAGCAGAAATTTGATTTTACTGATTGTAGGATGCTATCAAATCAGAACACAGTTAATTTCTATTTTCCAAATACATGTTTCAAAGTAACATTTTCAGATATTTCTATTGGCAAAATTGAAAAAAAAAACAAGTATGAAGCAGAGAAATAAACCAAAATTGCATGACAGATGAAACCAATATAATTAAGCAGCCACTTCAACACCTGTCTGGCACTGATGCTGATAAGAGATTTGAAGCAACAGAAATGTGGTTCTACAGAAGGATGCTGAGAATACCATGAACTGAACATGTAAGCAACAACAAATTTTTAAGGTAAAATGGAAACAAAAAGGACCCTTATACTTAACATCAGAAACCGTTGAAATCTCTAGGGCACTTAATGAGAAAAGCAGGCTTAGAAAAAATTGACTCTCACAGGACATCCTGAAAGCAAGAAGGACAGAGGAAAGCAGTGGATAACCTACCTGACAAGCTTGTGTAAATGGTTGGCAGAACAGGTTTTCTGAGATATAGCAAAATGACAAAATTTACTAAGAGCTACAAAGAATAGGAAATTGTGGAGAATAATGATCACCAACATCCTAAAGGGACAATAGTTTTTTTGATTAAAGCATCTGTTCATGAATTTGGTGACATAGTGAGTTCAATCCCTGGGCCAGGCAGTATGTAATTAGACGTGGTGGAAGCAGGGTGAGCAATAAGTGAGCAGTACTTAAAAGAACTAGACAAGATATCCCTAGACATGGGCAGTGGAAGAAAAACAGTCTACCCCCATAGATTAAATAATGGTTTCAGTTCAGAATTCCCTGTAGGTTATCTGAATTGCTATACGTGCCTGATGAAGGCCAGATGGAACAACGGCCAAAACATTGTGATAACAACAAAGTTGAGGACACTAGTTTGCATATAAATAACGTAAATAATGAGAGCTTTATGTTTCACCAGATCTTTTAAATAATGCAGAGATGTTTGATAGACATTTCTATTAATGAAACGTTATGTTTCTGACAAAAACAAAATACTAGAAAATTCAGTAAAAAAAAAAAAAAAAAAAAACAATGAATTCACCTCAGCTGAACAAAGCATACATGTTTCATTTGTAGTTCGTGTACATTTCTTTAATCATAAAGTTATAGTTTAATACAATTTCATAGCATGAGGACAAAACGCCAATCAACATATTTATTTGTAAGGGTTATGAAGAAAAACCCATAACTCTTAAATGCGCCACCATGACAATACTCTTGTACATGATGTGTCAGGTATTTGTGAGTTCCTGGCAAAAAATCCCTTACAAAAATGGGCCAACCACCTTACTTAGCCTCCTGTAATTGCAGCTATTTCAAAAATAAAAATATATGCCCTATAAGACAAAGATTTTGCCGATGCCCAACTGCACGTCCCAACACAACTAAAAGTTATTTCAGAAAATAATTTCCAAGAATATTTCCAGCAATGGCACTATCATCTCAAATCTGTATCTGCACCACTCGACCCAGGGAGTGAACACACAGTAATTATGTAACCAAATTCACAAACACTTTAATACTCTATTCCAAGCATGGGCAACCCCATTTGAACAGTGGGTCGCATGAGCTACAGTAGATCATAATGTGTCCCTCAAAAAATATATCAAGGTAACTTTTACTACAGATACTGCAGGCATTTTTCCAACAAAAGACCATGATAATAATCATCTGCCTTAGAAATGGGGGAAAAAAATCAATGTTTTTTTTTTCTTTGAAGATCTCTTCTATAATTAAAAACACCCAAAGACTTGGTATGATATTATCACTGATGAAGATGTGATTAATACCCACTACTGCATTTGATTTGTTTCTAATTTATTCATTTAACTATACAAAAATATTAATAAAAGAAGAAGTATTTTTATTCTCTAGAGAAAAATAATTATCACTGACGTTTCCTGTTTGTGAAGCAAAAAATGTTGACATGTATGATCAAGTGAAAAATTGCCAATGGTTTAAAATGCCAACAATAAAAAGTTACAAAATTCAAAAAGCATTGTACTTAATCATTGTTTATGCATGAGTAAGAATATGTGAGCGAACAAGTGAGAATGAAACGAAACAAACATTTTAACGAACGTTAATTTCCTCATGAAATTAGGTGTGCCATTCAGAAAATCAATCAGGCCACACGTCACCAGTTTGCCCATCACTGCTCTAGGCTATTGTCCAATGGAACAATCCTGAAGCTAGAAGTCAGTTGAAACAGGCCAAGAAATAATAAAGAAGTATCAATAAAGAAGACAAGATATCTCCAGAGATGGACAGCGGAACAAGAACAATATTACTCTAGATTAAAAAGATTTCAGTTCAAAATTCCATGTAAGTTCATCATCATCTTTTAACCTTCCTACACTTGGTCAAAACTCCATTGACAATCTCTTTTGATATTGTTTGGTTCTGTACTGCTGTCTCCAGATCTCCAATGTCTAACCCTGATTCCTGAACTATGGTGTCTGGGAAAGTCAATTTTCATGATAAGACATTCGAGAAGGATGCCATAGGATGAGATGCTTTCCCTGTCTGTTCAATGACAGTGACTGGCAAACTAGTCATTTTTGCTGGAGCTTATGAAAGTTTGGTCCCAGTTCTCCATAGCTTGTGTTAAGTGTTGTATGGGACCTCATGTAAGTTACCTGAATCAACAGACACCTGAAGAAGGCTGGAGAGCCCAATGGCCAAAATACTGAGATCATAACAACAAAGATTAGGACATTAATCTGACTATAATAATGTAAATAAAAAATTCTGGGGTTTGGTTATTTGTTTAGAATTTGAGAATTGGGTCAGGCTAAGAACAGTTTATATAGCTGAAAGGTCAGGATGGATGGAGAGCTTATATGTCAAACCAATAGTTTAATGTCTGGTATTTCCAAGTAGGTGACTGCGATGAATATAACCGATTTAAAATTATATAATTATCTATTGCTTTTTCCACAGCCTTGACACACCTGTTGCATAGCAAAAGCTTTCAAAAACATCAAATAATAAAATATTTTAATGTCCATTAAAAAATAAAGAGCATGAATTTTTCCATCTTTCATAAAAGGCAATCACCATACATAAATATATATGGAGTGTCTGTGCGTCTGTTTTATTTTATTTTTTGTTTTTTTTTTTATTTTTTTTTTGAAGTCGTGCGTGAGGATATTAGAAGAAAGCTGTTCTCAATGTGGACACAGGAAGGTAAAACAGGTTCAAATGTCTGCCGTAGTAATAAAGTAGAGAGACATTTCATCTGTGGGGAAAGGGTGGAGAATAATTCATCACCCACAAGGCCGCATAATCGCTGCTGAACTCTGCCAAAACTGGAAAGTGAGAACAGGGCAGCACCAGTCCAGATATTCCAGCAATACGCCATTCTTGGTCTGATCTGACTCTTAGAAAGATAGAGCATGGCAGTAGGAATTAGATATTTTCTGGAGTGATTCAAGGAACCAGTATCTTCTGTGATAGCATGGATATTAATAGATTTCAATTAAGCCCAGAATCAAGCAAAAATCAAGTTTATCAGCAAAAGAAGGATAGGAAAACAATAGAAGTGCTTATGCTATGCAAATTACTGGCCCAGTCCCTATTTTCTGATTTGCACTATTGAAAGACTTAACCCAACTTCTATCTGAAGAATGCCATAAGAAAATGGTTGAAACACTGTGGTAGCAACAAAGTCAATAAGAAAGATAATCACGACTCATTTATCACAAAGTCTCATTAAAACCTTTCCTTTACATTTCATATTTATCTAACGAATATCGTCTTTTTAGCCTCTGCATAAATCAGTGATCTCTTCCTTTCTTGATTCATGATTCTTGAGCAACCTGATGTTTTCTCTATGAGCTTGATTCCTGAGCAACCTGATGTTTTCTCTATGAGCATGATTCTTGAGCAACCTGATGTTTTCTCTATGAGCATGATTCCTGAGCAACCTGATGTTTTCTCTATGAGCATGATTCCTGAGCAACCTGATGTTTTCTCTATGAGCATGATTCCTGAGCAACCTGATGTTTTCTCTATGAGCATGATTCTTGAGCAACCTGATGTTTAGTAACATATCTCCAATTCTTTTTTCTTCCATATTAGAACTTTAATTCAAAAATAAAAGAAAAAATCTTTCTTACAGTCAAGGCAAGTTCATCATCCAGGATGGAGAGTTTCACAATGTACGGATTGGCAGACTGAAAAACAATGAATCAGCGAAATGAACAGACAATAGCAGAAAGAAAAAAAAAAGAAAGAAAAAAAAAAGAAAGAAAAAAAAAAAAAAAAAAAAAAAAAAAAAAAAAAAAAAAAAAAAAAAAAAAAAAAAAAAAAAAGAAAAAAAAAAAAAAAAAAAAAAAAAAAAAAAAAAAAAAAAAAAAAAAAAAAAAAGAAAAAAAAAAAAAAAAAAAAAAAAAAAAAAAAAAAAAAGAAAAAAAAAGAAAAAAAAAAAAAAAAGAAAAAAAAAAAGAAAAAAAAAAAAAAAAAAAAAAAAAAAAAAAAAAAAAAAAAAAAAAAAAAAAGAAAGAAAAAAAAAGAAAGAAAAAAAGAAAGAAAAAAAAAGAAAGAAAAAGAAAGAAAAAAAAGAAAGAAAAGAAAGAAAAAAAAGGAAACTAACAAAGATATAACAAGATTAGGATTTAGGATGAAACCTCTTCATCATAATGTTCTATATAACGGTAACGCTAAGATTAGCCATTTGCACACAGAAAACCTTCACCATTCAGAGTTTGTCTTAAAACAGGAAAATACGCTTCTCAAGACAACTATTACCGCTCTTTCTAGTAGTCAGGGGTGTTTACTTCCTAACCTTTTGTTTGAGGTAGTGTGGAATGTCAGCATCTTGATTATATTATTATTTTCCCTTCTAATTACATGTGCTATCCACTTTAGTCATATGCTCCGAAAATCACCCAATACATTGATGTTAGTCACCTTACTGCTCACAGATCCATTATTGCTGTAGAACTTGATTAAAGGAAGTTACTTAAACACTTTTTATACACCTTTAAGTAAATCAATTTCATATTTCTGACATTCTCTTAAAACAATTTACTAACCATTGATCCATTAATAATTCTAATCAGGATGAACATTTTTATTGTCTTTTATTCACCAAAGTTTTATAGTTTTTTTGTTTTTTTTAATTGTGTTTTAGCCTCTGTATCCTTGGGTCTAAAACATTTCAAAATAAAGATTCCAGTTTGAAAAAAAAAAATATATGTGATAAAATCTAGTACAGTATGCGTATGCTATATTTATGGATTAAAGTGTTCAATGTAGATATGAAAGAGGACATTGAAGTCAACAACAAGAAGCAGCAATTTGTTTCATGCTAAACACAATCATCAGGCTGTGTGCGTTGTGATTTTGCTCAACTATATATATATATATATATATATATATATATTATAGGTATATGTGTGTGTATATATATATATATATATATATATATATATATTAGATATATGTGTGTGAGTGTCTGTGTGTATATATGTTATGGTCCGGTTCCTTGTACCACAGTGATATTCCAAGGTAGAATCAATAAAGAAGAACTCGAACACGGATACGAAATAACACAGATATATTACAAACAGGAATATATACAGAGAAGTAGAAAGTGTTAGTACAAACAATCAGGTTTAGTAGTAATTGTCTGAACGTGACTCTGTTTCGGACTGCCTCTGACTCAACTGACTGACTCGACCGGCAGACTTCTGACGGACTCCACTCCAGACTGAACTCCCTGCCTCTTCTTGAGGTGCAGTATTTATTACGTATGGAATAGTCCACTATGTTATTATGGGTAAGGTCCCATAACAATATATATATATTAGATATATATGTGTGTGTGTGTGTGTGTGTGTATATATATATATATATATATATATACACTTTAAGTTTCAACTGACAATTATAAAGCAATGTGCAAACCATTTACAGCATAAGAACTGTAAGGAATTTAAAGATTGTGTGTGTTTATTGAAGGCACATATAAACAATGTAGAAGCAACAAAAACTTGGCTTTCTATTATGGACTGTTTATTCTTTTTCATAGCATCATTGTGAAACAAAGTTCTCAATGAGTCTTGTGTATGTCAGTTTCTATTTTCTGATTCAGAAGTAAGTTTGAATAAGTAAGGATAAGAAGGGTTAGAATGGTCAAATTCAAGTCACCTTTGTGCTGAGTTGGAATGACCAAATTACTTCATGCGCAGAGCTGCAAAACATGTCCAAATGCTATGTGTTGGAAAGTGGTGTTATAAAATTGTGCAGATGACCAAAAATACTTTCTGGTTGCTTTATTACTAGCATCATAAGAAAAAAAAATTTTTTTTTAATATTTAATTATTATTTTAAGTATTGATTTTATTTAATTTTCCCCACAACTGTACACAATAATGATTTTATGAAAACAACACTTTCATTTTTTATACTGCCTCTCAATGAGGCACTGATTAACAAAACAATGTTTTAAACAATGAAAAACATAAAAGTCAAAGAAACAATGAATTTTGCTGACCTCGTATTTTCTATATTGCACCAAGAGAGTGAGCAGCAAAACTGCATCATGGCCAAGCGTTTGACGATAAATTGAATTGCCAAGAATCTGAAGGGGAAAAAAATAAATTACATCATCATTTATGCATTTGTATTTATATATCCAATGCTTTGTTTCTTGCAAAGAAATTTTTACATTTGGTAATATTTACTTTCAAGATTTCCCTAAAGGTTAATTACTCAGATAAATATTTTGGCACTATTTGTCTATCCTTTGAATATTGCTGCTACATATGGTCTGGTGCTCTGCTATATATATATATATATATATATATATATATATATATATATATATATATATATATATATAGATCCTTGATAAAATCCAAAAGTGGATCTGCAATGTTATTGGTTCTGGCCTGAAATCTCAGCTTCAATCACTTTCCCACTGCTGTAATGTAGCATCCTTGTGTCTTTTCTATAAATATTTTTTATGGTAATTGTTCTGATAATCTTTCCTCTGTGGTACCTAGATTTTAAGAATTTAAGCGTATTACTAGATTGGCCACAAGGTCTCATTATTTTACAGTTGAAATGGTTAGATGTAATTGTAAGTTCTATGCTAACAGTTTCTGTTCTCACACAACTGGCTTACAGAATTCTTTTCTGGCGTCTTGCTTTCCATGTTCCATCTTGAAAAGTTTAAATGCAATTTCAATCTTTATCCTCTGCTTTCATAATTTCTGTTCTTTTACTGTTCTCACTCTTTAATAATATTTTTCAATTTCTTATAGTCTTTCAAACTGAATGATGGCTACAGTAGTGCATATTGGGCTAAATGAATAAATGAATGAATGATTTTAACAAATATTTTTTCTGTTTTATTCATTAATTCGAATTTTGAAAATCACTATAAGTAATGTTATCATTTATAAAGTTTTATTTTTAAGTATATTGTGTTTGTATTTTTTTTAATCACTTCAGCCCAAGTAAGGCAATAAAACCACTAAGATGTAGAGTTACAGAGTATGAAAGAATATAAGAAAAAAGAAAACATTATTAAAGAGTGCCAGCAATAAAGGAATAGGAATTAAAAAAAAAACAAGATAACAATTGAAATTGCATTTAAATTTTTGAAGATCAAACTTGACTGGAAATCAAGAAACCAGAAAACAGTTCCATAAGCAAGTTGTGCAAAAAAAGTAACTGTGAGCATAGAACTTAGTTATATCTATCCATTTCAACTGTAAAATGATGAGACCTTTCTGCCAATCTAGTACTGCACTTAAATTCATAGAGTCTAGGTACCACGGAGGGAAGTTCATCAGAACAATGACCATGAAAGTATTTATAGAAAGGGCATATAGAATATATACGTAGAGTTTGTATAGAAAGAGTTTATATCTGTCTTGTCAAAATTCAGTTGTAAGTTAGAAAAACTATAATGTTTGTAATATGCATTGTTGTTGCCTGCTATTTCGCATTACTAGAAAATAGTCGAACAGAGTCCAAAAAATCTTTCATCCAATTATCTAAATAAGTCAAAATAATCTGTTTAATGTGATTTTCTCAAAACTGCACAAACTTATCTAAACAAGTGGAAAAATAGTAAGTTTACTAAATTAATTTTTATTACTATTATTAATATAAGCATTAGAAAATTATTCAAATATTTCTCTACATGGTCAGCTCTATGTACCAATGTCCAGAGTAGGAAGAACTTTAGAAGATAGATGTTTTACAGAAAATGTTTTTCTTTATCACTTCACTCCAAGCAAGGTAATAATGCCACTAAGATGCAAAGGGTTTCTGGGAGTGAAAGAGAATAAGAAAACTTAAGAAGGAACCAGAAACCCAATCCTAAACAGGAAACAAGGGATAAGCCTCTACTTTTGTTCAAAATACTGCAGGAGGAGTGTGAACTGGACAGTAGATGAACATATCTACTCCTAGGGAGGCACGGTGGAATAATGGATAGCAGCTCAGATTGAGCAGAGTTCGAATTTCAGTCAAATCCATTACATTCACTTATGTGCTAATACCCTTGGGAAAGGCATGAACCCTCTTCTCCCTACCCACAAGGTATGAGCAAATAGCAGGACAGACTGGGTTCTATAGCCTTGGATGGCAACTGGTCTACCGCAGAAAGAAATGGCAACCTACTGCCGGAAAAAATCTGCTTCGTCAGTCATGTATCGAAAGATACATGATCGCCTAAGCATGTATCACACATGGCATATAACTGACTGATTTACTCCTACCATTTACACCAAAATTTCAAAGAGGTAAAAGAATGACAATTTACTTTTCTTTTTTGGTAGGATGAGTATTCACTTCGTCTTGTAAAAGAGAAATTCTTTAGACTGAACAAAAGCAAAAAAAACAATCTTTTCTGGATATACTCACTTGAACCAAAGATTCAAATACACAATTGATGAGAATATATTCCAGCATTGTGTTTTGACTAATATTATCAGTAGCCTGGAGAGAAGAAAAAAAAAGGGTTAGACTAGGTACAATCATCACAAATAGACAGAAAAGTACAATCATCGCAAATAGACAGAAAAGTACAAGCATCGCAAACAGATAAATTTTCGAGTTCAAAATGACCAAAACTAAATATCAAGAACCAGCTAAATGATGTTTCAAAAGAATGACCAACCCAAGTGTATTTTTATTGCAGACTATTCTATAATTTAAGATATAATACGACTTTATTTATGCTATTTACATTCAAACTATTATCCTCATCTTTGTTGTTGTTATCACAACATCTCACCCATTGTTGTCAAAAAATTTCACCTGTTGTGCCCTCTGGTTTTCATTAGGTCCATGTCAATCTAGAGGACAATAGCCTAGTAGATTAAAATGTAAATTTGGTGACATAGTAATTACAAGTTCAATCCCATGACTGGGCAGTGTGTACTTGAATTCAGTGGAAACAGAGCAAGTAATAACTAAACATTACTAAATAAAAGATCTAGATGAGATATCTCTAGACATGGGCAGTGGAATGTGGACACTCCACCCCCATAGATTAAATAAAGGGTTCAGTTCAGAATCCCCTGTAGGTTACATGGATCTACCTGATGAAGGCCAGAGGACACAATGACCAAAATGTTGTGATAACAACAACAATGATCAGGACAATCGTCTGTGTGTAAATAAGTTTAGATGAAGTCATATTGCAGCTTACATTATAGAAAAGTATGTGATAAAGGGACACTTGGGTTGGTTTTTCTTTTGAAAACAGGCCTCATCTAATGAGATTAGGCTATTAATACATTACTTATGTCCTTTGTTTTATGCTTTTAGATATTTTTATTTTAATGGTTTGAAAAACAAAATTATTTTCAATATGTAACAACATAATTAATTGTTTCTATAACAATCAGAGATTATAACTAGTGAAATTACAAAATTATTTTAAGACTGTGTGGCATCCGTCGATTTCAAAAAACAATGAATCTGCACCCAAAGAGTTACGCCTCAGCTGCTGATGGTGGTGCAGCATCTGTTATGGCTGTACTGGCATACATAGGAGTGACAGCTTTGATTGCAATGAATGCATATGAAGATGCTCTCCTTCAATGTCAACCTTGTTTTTTACGTTCCGTCAAGCACACCTCTCCCTGGCAAGCCTTCATTTCTTCTCCCCTCGCTCTAGCCCTTGGTGCAAGTCACATATCCAATGTCAGTGATCATTATCAATTTCAATACTGTTGTTACTTTTTTATGAAACAGGTAGTATCATATATGTATACATGATAACTAAATATGAGTCATTTTTCTCTTAGTATGTTTAAAAGGAACAAGTGTTATAAAAGACTAATTTAATCAAATATAATCCAAGGCTTAAAAGATAGTCAAGATGGTAATAATAAATGAGGTGTGTGATGGGAAGGGAAGGGAATATGGTAGGAAGCGGGAATTATGAAAATAAAGAGGACAAATAACAACTAACTCTTGACTTGTCAATATTAAAGTGTTCAAGGGAGCATCCACACAGGAGCCTTTTCCACAAACAAATTGACTGTGGAACAATGGTTAAACTATTTTCACAAGCCATGAATATTGAAATGAGTTTGAGCCTCACAGGATACTTCCCACATGGCTTTTGTAACGTTGCAGCTCAAACCAGACAACCAGGTTCATTCTCGGGGTGAAGCTTCTTTCAGTCAAACACTTGTGACTTAAAAAATAACTCTTTGGCCAGATCGTCACCCATGAAATAAAATCATGAGACAAAATTTTAGCAGAAGGCAAATTTTATTTTGATTGAAACATTCTCTTATAGGCGGGTGAGACAGAGATGAGGCATGTTGAGTGGGTGAATAGTCTAATGGGCATGTCTTCTTTTCATATTATGGTGAGCGGTCTCTCATCCCTTTCTGTGTCTTTTGCTGTTAGGAATCACTGTCTTATAGAGAACAGTGATCTTTTTCCTGTGAGATCTGTCTCAAAAAGTAATACATCAAGAACTCAGGCTCTGGATTTACTCAGTAACTTGCTTTGTCGGGATTGTTTGACCTGGTTCTTGGGAGGTCCACTCCATTAAGCTGACCTACTTCACCAAGATAATAACTGTCAAAACAATTTCTGTAACATCTTCCAGATGTTTTCTTTTAACAAGATATCGGCTGACTGATATTGCTACACTTTTTTTCAAGACTAAGAAAAGTTTAGTAAATAACTAGCAGGTTAGATAGTTTTATATCTCACACTGGTGCAAGGTAAGAGCAAAGATACTGAATGCTGACTTTTGTAAGGCAGACAGGACCTGCTCTCTTGAAACACTGATGCAAAACAATTATTTACCCACAAAATGTCTCATTTAAAAGTGTCAGAAATTAGAAACTTACTGTGGCAAGGACAAGCAAGAGTTTTAGGGACAGCTGCTTGAGACTTGTCGAGAAATCTCCGGTTAGGAACTTATTGAGAGACTCTATCAAAGACTGAAAAAGAAAAAAAACATTTTAAAACAGCCCTTAAGTCAAAGAAGAGCAAATTTAATGTAAAATCTGGCTTTGAGCAAAGTGAAATCTTTAACAAAGTGCAACACTGGTTTCTTAACCTTAACTTTATCCATCCCAATAAGGTGAACATCGCTGAAAGTGTTTGATCTCAAATATTCTTAGTGTCACATCCAAATCACTATTCAAAAGAGTACTGCTAAGCAAGCCAATATCTAGATATTTCCTAGATAAATCCCCTTATTTGGGTACAATGGGTTAAAGAATTAGCAACAAATATTAGCATATGACAATAATGTATTTATGTTGAAATTGAAACATATCAATACCTATAAAAACCAAATTACTGACTATTATTATAAAAATTAATAACTATAAAACAGATAAAATTTACTACAGAGTGGTGGTTAACAAGCTTGTTGTTACTGTTGAGTTTAATCTTCACTGCATGCCACAAGTTCAAGATTAAGCTAAACATGGCAAATATATATATATATATATATATATATAAACATAAATAGAAGTTTCTTACCTGCATGGAAGCCTCAGCTATATCAAAACCAATAAGGATGTTGATGACATCAAAGCCATAATTATTCAGACTTTTGCGGAAAACCCCCCGGATCAAAGCACACAAAGTCTGCAAAGACAAATTGAAAAGAAGAATTAAGGTGAAGGGTAGAGAGATCAAACAAAACCTTGGCAAAGTGACAAATAGATTTACTGTTAATATAGGATGAAAGTGTTGTATATACTTATTAATTTATTTGGGAAAATTGACAGTATGCAGAAAAACAGTAAAAAATATACAGTATGTAATGGAATTTATTTTTAAAATGAACTGAAATCAAAAACTGACATTGGCATTCATAAAATATGTGCAAGCTTTATATTTTGGGGCCTTCTTACACAGTCTTTGATATATGTACTGATATTTTTTACAGACATAGGTTAAATAACAGGGTAGACCAGTGTTATAGTCCAGGTTAGGACCAAGGAAGAACAACATGAACACAAGAGTAGAAATAACGAAGGTATATTACACAAAATAATAATACAAAATGTGGAAGGTGTTAGCATGACTGTCAGTCTGGTTTGGAGTGAACTACTATCAGCTCGACTTGATTCAACCCTCTCTCTTGAGAGGTGTAGTATACAAAGTGTTAGGAAGAGTTCATTCTGTAGTTATAGGTAAGGACCCATGACAACTAGGTTCTCTTGCCTTAGTTGGTAACTAGTCTAGAAAGACAACACTGACTCCAAAACCATAAAGAAAGACTTGCAGCAACAGAGATGTAGTACAACAGACAAATGCTGAGAATGCCATGGTTGGAGCATGTAAGCAATGAGGAAATCTTCAGAAAAATGGAAACAAAAAGACTTATACTTAAAATTAGAAAGCGATTATCGAAATTTCTGGAACAGATAAGGAAAGAGTGCTTGGAGAATTTGACATTCTCACACATATTGAAAGCAAGATGGCGCAAAGGGAAACTGCAAGTAACCTACCTAGCTTGTGCAAATTGATGGCAGAACAGAGAACGGTAGGATTGCAAGGAATAGTAAAAAGATAGCAAAGTAGTGGAGAGCCATGGCAGACCATGTCCTGAAGGGACAAGGTACATAGAAGAAGAGAAAGCAACAGGAAACCATTATATTATATTTCTCAAGAACAATCATGGCAAATTACTGTTTATAATTAAATAATAGAAGCTCAAGAGAGACATGGCATTGAGAGAGAGAGTTCATATTTTATGCTGATAAAAAACACGAATATGGTAATAACAACAGAACTATAGACAAGAGAAAATTAAAATACAGCTGTTAGTGACAAATATCGCCCACCTCCTATCTGGTTTGGGGTTATGTGCTTGAGACACAAAACGAGAAAGAGTAGGATAATTAGAAATAAACAGACCCAATATAAACTTGCTCGGATAAAAGATAACAGATGATTATGACAATAAACTACATCCGGCAGCAAAGCCTCAGATTGGGGGATTGGAGGTTTTGAGGAGTGTGGAACCACCTCTTAATTGCTGTTGTTCACAGGCCCACCCTGAACCGGGTGGTAGCACCTGTTAGGGTCCCAACTATGGACAAATGGTGAACCTCCAGACAAAAATCAAAACATTAAAAAAGTATAAAAATAAATTTTTATAGTAAAATTACCAGCAATACATTTTTATTAAAAAAAATAACCAACATTACATTTTATCATCTACAAAATATATATCTAAAATATATACATTTCCCTTGAGGGTATAAAATTATGTCTGAAATATATGAAGCTGAAGCGATCAAAATGGTGTAAAAAATATTTAGATTTTGGCATTAAATAACCCATAGTGGTTAATCAACCAAAACAAACCAAGATAACAGATTTTGGTTTAAATGAAAATTATAACTGAAGAATGGAGCCATAATGTTTAGCAAGAAAAATTTTATTATCTCGAGTCTCAAACTATGTCATGTAATAAAACAGTTCCTTTATGTAAAAAGTGTACTCGAAGCTAAGATTTATCAAAAAGAAATATTCTATAGCATAAAACACAGTGTGACTTTAAATATTCATTAGCTGACAGCCTGATATCACCTTTTTAGTAATGAGATATTCCACTGTAATGGTAACAGGACAAATTACTTAATGACAATGAGTGAACATTCTTCCTTTTACCATAACAAAAAATATCTCTTTACTAAATAGATCAGCTAGCTCAGTCTGCTAATACAGCGCTTTTTGTCTCATTTGCTTCACGTTAGCTTTCTTCAGATATTTTCATTTCAATAATTTAAAATCAAAATTCTTTCTAACAAGCAACAATAATGGATTGCATAGATGTCTAAACTATCATCTGTATACAACACTGCATTGCATAAAACTGAGATTAATTGCAAGAAAGCAATTGTACATCAATATCAAAATGAAGGTAAATTTTATTTTTAAGGTCCATGTGCGGGATGAGAGGCAATTACTACATTCATCCACCATAACAGATACTTTGTTAAGCCAACTACGAATGAACAAAGACGCAGACATCATTACTGCAACTTTGTATCAGTTCTCAACTTCGGTTACATTCTCCCAGATGTGATGTGGCTTCACTCTGTCTTTTCTATAAATCTTTTTCGTGGCAATTGTTCTGATGAGTTTTTTGCCTTGGTGTCCCAACTACATGAATTTAAGCATGCTACTAAATTGGCAACTAGGTCCCACCGTTTTACTGAACTACCTAGATGAAACTGCTACTTCTACTAAAACAGTTTATTTTCTCATACGTAAGACTTGTGTAACTTTCTTTCAATCTCTTGCATCCCTGATAACTATAATCTTCAAAAATTTAAGTGCAACATCAATCACCATCTTCCGTTTTCTTGAACCCTGTTTCCTCAATCCTCCTCATTCTCAGTTTTCCCATTTTCTTTCATTTTCATGACCTGTAACCCTTTGCTTGTTGTGAAATGATAAAAAAAAAAAAATGTCCAGGGATATCTCACCTAGCTCTTATTTAGTACTGCTCAGTTACTGCACACCATATTTCCACTGAATCCATGTTGCACGTTTATAAATCTACCATTTGTCTGGGCAATGAATACTGCTGCCGTATCTGGTCTAGTACACCTGTTGTATATCTCAACATCCTCGACAAAATCTGAAGAAGGGTCTTCAATGTAATCAATCCTGACCTGGCATCTTGAATTCAGTTGCTTTCTCTCCCTCTGTCTCTTCTACAAATATTTTCATGAAAACTGTTTGGATGAGTTTTTTTGTTTTTTTTTCCTGGTGCTCTGACTACATAAATTTAAACGTGCAACTAGATTGGCAACTAGGTCTCACCATTTTACTGTTGAACTAGCTAGATGAAACATCCACTTCTATTCTACCATTTTCTTTTTCATACTTCCCACCTGTGGAACTTCCTTCTGATTTCTTGCAACCCTAATATAGCATAATCTTTAAAACTTTAACTCCAATGTAAATCACCATCTTTTGTCTTCTTGAATTCTGTTCCCTTTGGTCCTTAACTCAATCCGCCTCATTCTCAGTTTTCTCGTTCTCCTTCACTTTCATTCCCTGTAACCCCCTGCGTTCTAGTGGTATCATCACCTTTCTTTGGGGTGAAACAATTAAACAAAAATAAAATAATGCTGCAAGACTGCCTCTTTGATGAGCTAGCTATTCATATCGTTATAATAATAGGCTTTAGAGTGCTAACCAAGCATTGAGTCTTTATTGACCGTGCAGAAATCGAAGACGTTCTATTTCTGTCAAAGAAACAAGAAACTAAATAGTTCTCTACGCCACGCCATGGAGGCAAAACATATCAGATGATCTGCCAATTTGTGAGCTTAAACAGCTGCAAAAACATCTCTATTGATAAAACACCTGTGAGGATCAATAGCTGCAACACTGTGCAAGTTCATACACGATGTCATTTCTAAAGTTGATGCAGTTTGATCATTTTATGAGCTACTCACATGAATTGCATTGACAATCCGGATAGGAATCGCTTGCTGCCTCAACGTTTCTACACATTTGTAAAACCACAAATTGATATTATCCTGAAAACAAAAACAAAAAAAAAATTATAATAAGCAATTAATACAAATAAATGGAAGAGGAAATAAAACACAGAAAATATCTACTGTGATTGTACTTATAAAGAACTATATTAAGTATTTATTTAGATAATATAATACCTGCACATCTTGAAAACTATTGACAGAGAGTTCATTAGAGCTTCTGTCTATAGATACATTCAGTACATAATCAAGATATTGATCTTCCACACTACTTCAAACAAAAGGTTAGAAAGGAAGCCTTGATCAATATACAGTGGACTTGAGAAACCTATTTTCCTGATTAATTGTTTTAATAGAAAGATTTTGTAAATTTCAACTGACAGTGGCACTGACTGCTTTGCATTCAAGGAAAAGGTTAACTTTACCATAAAATATTCTTTCCTTTCTTCTTGAAAAGGTAACTAATGATGAATGAATGTTTTCTGTGAGAAATTGGTTGAAGGTTAATTCCCTAAGATACATTCATTTCCAAGCAAAACATTTATTGAAATGGCTTATTTTGTTAAGAGGCAACTTATTACCTTTAAAGATACCAAGGCATCGCCGTTTAATTTGTCAAACTCTGCTTCAATATAAGCTGACTTGACCTAAAAAAAGAAAAAAAAACAATAAGTGTAAGTAAAATGAAAGGTGAAAATACAGACAATAATAACAAATATGATAAGGAAAGCTTCTATTCACTGAGGAACATTATATATATATATATATATATATATATATATATATATAAAAACATAAAGTGAACATTGAAGTTAACCTCAGAGGCAACAGGCTGTTTCATGCTAGACGCAATGATCAGGCTGCCTGACAATTGATTCTAGCATGAAAACAGCCTGTCACCTCTGAATGTTGACTTCAATATTCACTTTTATATTTACATACGCTCTATCTCTGATATTGACCACTTTTTCACATAAATATAGCACACCTTAAAACTATATCTCCAAGTGTAAGGTAGGTTAGTACCAATGTCCAGACATTATATTTTTTAAAAATGGTTAATACGGAGAAGAGCTTAATAATAATATTTATTAACAATTATAAAAACCCTTCCATAAATACAATTATATTTCAACACTGTGTGTGCCTTCTCAGATGGTGTTGTTCAACTGGAGAATAGATGGTCATTTTATGCTTTAAAAGTAGCAATATCATCAATGAGGTGGGGTGGAAAAAAAAAGTAAAAACAGGGCCTAAATTTCTAACATGCTTCTTGACCTTGGTTAACCAATCAGACATCAAGGCTATAAGTTTGAAGTTAACCTGTTGGATTTCTTTTGGCTGTACAAGTTATTTAGAATCTAACCTCAATGTTAGTAGGGTGACAAGTTAATAATATTCATTGGCCTTAACTCAATAAACTAACATAAGAATTTAAACTATCAGGATAAAACCAAGGGATAAGTCTACCTATAAATCTGTCAACGCCACATATCAACATCAATCACTGACCATGAGTTCAACATGCTAAAGCTGGACAAGGTGGCAGGGGGGGAAGGGGAGGGGAGAGGAGACAGGAAATAGTGGATGGGACATGTAACCATATAGTTCCAAACACATATGTACACACATACACACACACATATATATATATATATATATATATATATACACACACCCACAACCATATACATACATACATACACATATACGCACAAATTAAGACCAATATAATATGATAATTTAGTTAAAAACAATCTAAGAATTACAAAAAATAGACACAATAACCATTACACAATCTACAAATTAGCAACAGGCCTGAAAAAAATTAACAAACAAATTAAACATCGCCTTGGACTTTTGCAATGGGCCGGTACCAAAGATGTCATTTATTAAATCAAAGAAGCGAGCTAACTGTCAACTGTAGACTTAGTTCACCTTTTACTTTGCAATACAGTTAAACTCCCTAATTATAGTATAACTAGCAGCATGGCCCAGCGTTGCCATGCTTGATTCAAAAATCGTACGACTCATACAGCAATCGCTATCACTTGACTTAAAATATGTTTGCCCTTCCTTGCCTTTAAAGGAGTGCCCTTTACCATGCTGATGTTGCTACATGTCTTACTTCTTGCCTATCTCACACTGTGAATTTTTTCGAAGCTCTATACTAAACATTAAATCTGTTATGAAAAAAGAACTAAACAAAATGAACACAAAACAATCAGCTTTAAAAAATGGACTTGTAACTGGAAAAACCGAATGAAAAAAGATTGTTAACAACAAATACTTTTTCACACCCAACCCAGTTCTGTGGAATTAGAATCAACATTGAGTTTAAGCAAGCAAATGAGCCAATTGGAGTAAAGTGCCATGCAGATTTAAATTTTTCCCACTTGTGACAAATGCAGCTATCAAGTTTTTTTTGCATGCTAGTTAACATTCGTGTCAGTCAGCTGTTGGCGCTCACGCTGGCCAATAGAATCTTCATGCCTATTCGTGGCAGCCAGCTATAGGCTCTCACTCTGGCCAGTAGAAAATGGCTGCAAACTACATGAAAACTGCCATAGAAGCATGAAAAAAATTGATTATTTCCACTATCAATGGGAGTTGGGAAATGCAAAGTTAGTCTTGGCATTCCCGCTAACATGGAGCATGTGCATGTAAATTTTGATGCAAATCCGTCGAAAATTGTGGCCGTGCATTTGTTACACACACACACACACATCCTGCTTTTTATAGATAGAGATAACACTAAGTCCTGATCAGTAAGTAATATTAATTCGTAATCCTCTAATAATCCTTTTTTTTTTTTTTTAACTTGGAATCCCCTACCCTGCCGCATGAATCCTAATCTTCATTTGTACTCAATTGTGTATCTATATACGTATTTTTGCATGTGTACGTGCTTTGCATGCAGATATGTACCTTTGTATGTGTGTATATTTGTGTACGTATGTGTATAGTTATGTAAACATTGTATATAAGCATAGATGTATATAACTATATATGTGCAGTTGTAGCTGTGTGTATATATATGTATATTTGCTTTCTCTATACGTATTTGCATTTGTGTATGTATATATGTATATGGATGTGTGTGCGTGTGCATGTGTATATATATATATACCTGTTAATATGTATGCATTAGGAGTTTACAGTGTGTCCCTGCTATTTCTCTTCCTTATGTCCACATCCGGTCTGTCTGTAGGTGCATGTGTTTATATATGTATGCGTATGTATGGAGATGTGCATATTTGTATACATGTATGTATGCTTATATGTATAAACACGTATGTTTCTATGTAAGTTGGTATACCTTTATATGTGCACGTATTTGTGTTTATTTACTTGTATTTTTTTCTGCCCACATATTTACCTGCATGTATATGTGTCTGTATTCACACATCGATTTGTGCATGCATGGGTACAGTCTTATAGAATTGAGTACATATTTGTTTGTACATTAGTTGTTGCTTACGTTTGTTCTGCTTAGCTGTTTATGTCTATATCACAACCATCCCCTTTCCCCACCGCTATCTTGTCCAGCTTTAGCATGTTGAACTAATGGTCAATGATTGCCGATGTTGATATGGGCTGTTGACAGATTTATAGATAGGCTTATCCCTTGATTTTAGCCTAATAGTTTACATTCTTATGTTTATTGAGTTAAGACCAAAGAATATCATGAACTGGACACCCTATTAACATTGAGGTGAGATTCTAAATAACTTATACAGCCAACAGAAATCCAATATGGAAGTTAACTTCAAACTCATCATAGGCCTGTTGTCTGACCAGTTAACCGAGATCGTCCTACCAGCATGCTAAAAATTTAGGCCATTTTTTTTCCTCCCATCTCTCTCTGTTGAGGGTATTGCTACTTTTAAAGCATAAAATGACTGTCTATTCTCCAGTTGAGTAATCCTGCCTGAGGAGGCATTTATGTAGCAGTTTATAACATATCTTTTTACAGCTGTTAATAAATAATATTATATTTTAATTTAGTATTTTATATAAAACTTTGCTGCTACAAACATTTAAGAACTGTTTTGCTATACTCAAAGCTGACTTTATTTATTTACAATATAGTGTTGGTCCCATGAGACAGAGAATTTTGGAAAACAACCATATTGAAAAGCTCATACCTGAAGATTGTACAGACATGAAACTCTGAGTCATACAAATGACGTAGGTAATAGGTATAGTTAATTATATACTTTATAGCTCTGTTACATTACATTGCGCACCGTTTTGATTACACCAAAAATTAAATAAACATTTATTTGCAAATCTGTATATGAACATAATCGCATACATGTATAGTTGCTAATACTTCTTTATTTAATTCATATTTTATATATATATGTGTATATGACATATATGAATTATTCATACAAAAAGTAAATTACTAAAGTTAATGATATAAAATGGCGAAATCCCTTCGCAAACAAAATTTTAAAGATGCATTAACCTACCAATCACTCGATGAATGTTATGCTCCTCATGTTTCTAAATTATAAGCTGTATAAGATCTTTCCTAAATATGCAAGTACTTTCAACTGTACATTCAGTCATCTTCAGGCATGGAAATTATTTTGCTTATGATAAATTCAGGTAGCATCCGTGACGAAAAAATATAATGCAAATCAAAATATGTTTTTTTGAAATGTGTTATTGATAACAGATACAAACTTTTGGAGCATGCTTCTATTAGTTTTAGCTGTACGTAGATATTATACTCATATTTTCCACAAGTATGTGGTGAACAGAGTTTGATAGGTTTTTGTGTAAAAAACTATTAAGATTAAGCCATAGGGGGCCTTTCCCCTAACAATACCTCTCCTTCAGTTCATTGTTCAGCACCTGAGGTCTCCCCAAAAGGAAAAGTGCTGAAAGATCTTGTCAAATTTTTCTACGGTATTGCTGTTAAATGGAGCTTGTATCACATTCAGTAGCAATAGGGGTATATTGAAAAATACTTGTTTAAATGGGTTCTAATTGAACTATGGTTTGAGAGATGTGATGAGAGTCTTCTTGATAAGCATGTAGTGGTACGTCCAATATAATTATTGAATATATTTTGATCAGGAATACAGTTCATTAAGGGGCATATATATATATATATATATATATATATATATATATATATATATATTGTCACGTAGCCACGATTTCATTAATCATATAGGCGTTAGGCTAAAGTAAAATCTTAAATAAAGAGAAAATTAGTTAGATATAAAAGAAAAATAAATAAATAAATTAATAAATAAAAATAGAAATTTAATCCAATGTTTTCGACTTGCGAGCGAATATATTCTATGATCAGCCATATCCTCCTTTTCTTTTCCCAAATTTTTTCTCTCTTTATCTACTCTTCCACCCACAAGCCAAGGGCACGTGAACTTCGAAGTGACCCAACGCGAGAATGACCTGGTTCCAAGATTTCGCAGCTATCAGGCGGCTGACCATAAGTGAATTCCAGGCACCATCAGGGTCTCCTGCTGTGATTCACGTGATCAGAACGTACTGAGCATGTGTTGAACTTTTGGCCATCACACAAGCACTGGCGTGATTTTGCGCCCTATCCTCCCTGCGTACCCGGTCAAGGACCTAAGGGAACCCACGTGACTGTCTTTGGGGACAG